CTCCTCATACCAGTTTTAACTTATCACCAGGTGCCTATGACTTTCAGGTGTGAAAATCATGAATTTAGAAACTGGGAAGAGAAAATGGTGCAAGGGTAGGACACTGCATTAGAGACCATTTACCTACATTTCTGGGAGTATGTGAAAGCTTGTAAAGGGCCAGTTTCTCACGGAGTGCACTGTTCATGTCCGTGTTCATGCACATAGATCTACACACAGTAGTAACTGGGGCCCCACTTTCCTTCAGTTCTATCTCCTGGTACTAAACGTCCTACTATTGTCTTCCAAACTATCTGGGCCTTTGGTTTACCTCTAAGGAAACTTGTGTTCAGTTGATGGTGCCTATAACTAACCAACAAACCTCCTCAAATGCTGGTAATGAAACAAAATACTCTTTTGATAAAGCCATATACCCATCAAAGGGTAGCGCAAAGCACAAAGCGCAAAGATCCTTTCACAGATGAGTACCATTGTGGTTTAACGACTTGCTTGTTGGAGATAAACCTAGAACAGAATCCAGGTCACTTGTACTTACTAGCACGGTTTTTCCTATAAAACACTTGAGTCTATTTGTATATAGTAAAATTATTTACCATGCCTGTAAAGGACTCCAGTTTGTTTAGATATAATGGGATTATTTCAGAATGAGTTGCTAAAAGAAATCCTGCTCTGAGAAATCTAGAGATGTGCTTTAAAGATGTCCGTGTCTTTGTAGTGAATTAGCAAATAGAAAAGAGTACTTTGAATTCAGTAGACAATATAGGCAAACAACAGCGCCCCATCATCCTTTTCTTTTGTATATTAATTTAATGTTCTTAATTTTATGGATAGGTAGATCTTATTTAGGTGGCTGTCATGATTAAAGTAAGAAGCAGTATATTTTGTGGAGGAGTAAAAATAGGTGAGAATTCTGTCATAATCATTACATACTTATGGCCTAATCACGTTCTTATGAAGCATGACTACTCGTGCAGGGGCTTATTCATGGTGTCCAGCTCGGACAACTGCTGGTTTTCTGATCTCTCTCCTGCGGTCTTTGTGATTTTGGGGAGTATCTGAGAATAACAGAGATGCTTAGATACTCTGAGATCATCTGGTCATTAATATATTAGGAAGTTTTTACTGAGCATTGGATATATTTTAGCTAGAGGCAGTACCTACAGCAAGCAACATGAGTTTTATTTGAAAATGAAGTGTTTTTCATGTAATTAGGACTTCATAAAAGTAGGTGTTATGATGTTGATTTGGGCTTGTATTATTATTATTAAATAAGCATTGGTTATTTTTTCTTTCTAAGAAAAAAATAGATAAAAGGAAAAATTTGCCCCCTTTTGATGAATTAATGCAGTGAACCTTTTATTTATGTATTGTAACCATATGTATTCAGCCAGAAGTTTTTCTTCTCTCCCTCCTACAACTAAACAGATTTGGGCAGAAGCATGCAACCTTTTTGCTATTAAGTTTCTCTGAAGTAAGGCCAGAAAGCTTTAAAAATATTTTGACCAAGATGGTTAAAGTGTCTGGTTCTGTCTCAGTTTGTTCTGACGGACTTGATTGAATAACATCTTGAATTGTCGAAGAAGTGATGTAATGAGTATTTTCTCATTATACAGGATATTCTTAGGCTAACAAATGTATCTCCCACCTAGTAAAATATAGAAAACCTCCAATTTAGGTAGGATCAGTTTCCCTGCTTAGAAACTGATCTTGTCTTGGGTTTGTGCTGGGATATGTTAGACTCTCATTGTTTTCTTTTCTGAGGAAATTAGACTTGCTATCTCTTACTTTTTTTTTGAGGTTTTCGATTTTACAAATTCATTTCATAAAAATTTGAAACAATATCAAACTTACAGAAAAGTTGTAAGTACAGTGCAACTGTTTTTTGGTATCCTAAAGTATTGGAAAGTAAGTTGCCAACATGGTACTTTCTCATCCTCAGATACAAGGACCTTCTCCCACATGATCAAACTATGTGCACTGACATCAGAAAATTAACATTGACCCCTCGTTACCATGAAATCCTCACAAGATAGGCTTGTGAAAACTAGTTAACTGACAAAAAAAAGAAAGAAAAGAAAGAAAATTTGAGTACTGCATTATGCAGAAAAGGTCATGGTAATTCATAGTTGAGAGAAGGTCTAAGTATATGTCAGACTAAACATATATACTTATGATAAACTGAATGACATAGTAAGAGGCAGGTGAAGGATGATCGTGGTAATGGGGCCGTTGTACATGCATTTGCTTAGGAACTCCAGAGTGTGGCCGCATTCACTTTGAGGCTGAATAGATGAGCTCTTCCGATGACTGATCATTTGACTGCTGGATAGTGGCAGCCTTTGACTTTGCAGTTGGCCTTGGTACCTTTGCTCAGAGTCTGCTTCTTGGTGTAGCTTCAGGAGTTCAGTTATTCAGTGTCGGTGTTTCGGTACAGCGGAGGGCTCCTTCCATGCATGCGGCTGGTAGCTGTCTGCTGTATCTCAGGGATGGTCTTGCATGAATGAATGTTGCTGAAGAGGAAGAAAAATTGCTCTCTGTGACCAAACAGACCCACCTTTTGCTTTCACTTTATTCCCGAGAAAATAGTCCTAAATGAAGTTCTTCATATAATTTTTCTCTGATTTATATTCGCAAGTGCCATTGTCAGAGTGAATTATGGTTGTGAAACAGGTAGGCTAAAGAACAGTTTTCTTAGAAAAAATAAAAAGCCTGGTTAATTAAAGCTAGTTCTTTAAATGAATCATTATAGGAAATCTTAGTTTTAAAAACTATTTTCTGGATAAGTTTTTAATGTACATGTTTATGTTAATGTTGATTAAATTTAAAGTTGGTTTTTAAAAAAATTTTATTATGTTATGTCACCATACAATACATCATTAGTTTTTGATGTGGTGATCCACGATCCATTGTTTT